CAGAGACTTTGGATTTTCATTCATTCCTTGTTATGCTTTTCTCCCTGCCCACTCCTCCCCCCAATTCTTTCGTTGTTTTATAATACCTCCCCCTAAGTCTGCTCCACTATGCAGCCTTCATTCTGACCTCCTGACATGACAATAATACTTAATCATATATCCCTTTTAAACAGTTCTCTCCCTCATCTGTTTCAGTGCAGTATACATTATTTATCCCCTCTTTTTCCATCTCCCCCCAACCATGGTCAGTCCTGTACTATTATTTTATTGTAATTTATCCAGAAATTTATATTGTTACATGTATTATGTTATTTTATGCCAGAATTGACAATCAATATTGTATTTCAAAGATGTGTACTTTATCTAGTCTGAACTGTAAATAGAATCAGAATTCTAAAATACTGGAATTTACTATGCTTCTTAGGATTTGAGACTAATATTTTTTCCTTTTCTTCTTACTCCCCATTCTCTCTGTTTTACTCAAACACATAATGTATTTAGAAGGTCTATTTTATCCTTCTTAATTTTAAACCATGCAGGAAGACTATTAATAACCTGTGTTACAGAGATGACACACCTTACTTGCTGAAAGTGAGGAGGACTTGAATATGCATAATATGAAAGAATTCAACCTTCAAATACAGATTGCATGTCACCTTCAAGAAAGCATGGAGAAAAGATTGAAGTTGTCAATGATTTCATCTCACTTGGATTCACAATCAACACCAGCACTCAGTACCACTGAGTGGTACCAACACTCAGACAATGAGGAAAGGTATTGTACTGGGAAAATCTGCAGTCAAAAACTGCTCCAAATTATTGAAAAAAACTGATATCAGTTTGAGGATTTAAATATGCCTGAGTCAGGACATAGCCTTTTAAATTACTTATTATGTATCTGAGAGCTGGACAATGAATGAGGATGACAGAAGAATGGATAACTTTGAGCTCTGGTGTTGGAGAAGAGTGCTGAACATCCTATGGACTGTCAAAAGAACATACAGGTATATCTTGGAGAGTGGGCAGCCAGAGTGCTCCTTGGAGGCAAAGATGACAAAGCTTCACTTTACATACTTAAGACATGTTCCTAGGAGAGGCTAATTCTTGGAGAGGGGAATCATGCTTGGCAAGGTGCTGGATGGTGAAGAAGAGAAGACTTTCAACATATGAATTGACACAGTGATTCTGTAGTGGGTTTGAGTGTATTATAAAATGTGAGGATGATACAGGATAAGACAGAGTTCAGATCTGTTGTTTATAGGCTTGCTGTGTATCGTACTCGACTCGATAGCACCTAACAACAACAGCAGTATATCTATATCTATATCTATATCTATTTTAGAAGCCCCAGTGCCATGATGGTTGACTAAAAGGTTGGTGGTTTAAGTACACACAACAATTCTGCAGGAGAAATATCAACAATCTTCTCTCTTAACGATTGTTGTTGTTATGTGCTATTGTTCCAGAAGCAACTCATAGCTGATTCTCTAGCGAGTTTTCTGAGACTGTAAACAACACAGGAGGAGGCTGCCCATTTTTCTTTCATGGAGTAGCTGGTGGATTCAAACCCCATGCCTTTGGGTTGGCAGCACAACTCCTTGCCACTAGAAAATTCTAGGGGCTCATGTGGTCATTAAAAGTGAAAAAAAAAATGGAGTCCATGGCACCCAATAACAACATTATATATTCAGCAACATGTTAGGAGGGGAATAAAATATTTTCCTAGAAACTTCAAAGGCACACCCAAGTGTAAAAAGATAAATAGCCCACGCTTCCTGGAAAGCACTATATTACAACTCTATCAGTTTGCTAATCTGATAAAAATGACTATATCTCTGGAGTTCATTATTAAACACCCAGGCACCTAACGATGTTGGGTTATACACTCACTTGTAGTCAACATTTAATGTAGCTAGTATCTTATTAAATTTTCCATCTAAATTAGTTATTTACATTGAGCTAAAGACATACTTTCATTAAATGAACCCACATTCTAAAGGAAATTAGTTACAGATTTGATTACCAACTTTTCAGAAATTGTGTTAGTTTTAGGTGCTTTTAAGTCAAGAATGACACATAATAACCTGATGAACAAGAGACCTGAACCCTATTCTATCCTGTGCATTCTCATTATCTCTGACACACGTAGGCCCATTGCTGCAGTCCCAGTGTCAATCTATCTTGTTGAGGGCCTTCCTCTCCTTTGCTGACATTCCATCTCGTATATTTCCAAGCATGATGTCCTTTCCCAAGCAATAGCCTTACCCAGCAACATGTCTAAAATATGAGAGATGAAGCTTCATTGTCATTTTTTTTCAAGGAGCACTCTGACTGCATTTTGTCCATCATATATCTATTTATTTATTCTTTTGCTAGTCCTTGATATTGTCAGTACTCTTTCCCAACAATTCAACTCAAAGTCATCAGTTCTAGGGTCAACGTTATTCACTGTCTAGCTCTCATATGCATAGCAAGTGATTGAAAGGAACATGGCCTGAATCAGGTACACCTTAGTCTTCAAACTGGTATCATTGCTTTTCAGCATTTTAGAGAGTTTCCTGACAGTGGACTTGACCAATGTAGTACGTTTCCTGTGTTTCTGACTGCTGGTACCAAAAACTGAGCGCTGATCCAAGCAAGATGAAATCATTGACAGCTTCAATCCTTTCTCTGTCTGTCATGATGTTATCTATTGGCCCAGTTTCTATCTCAGAAACAGAATTTCCTTTTCCCCCTCCATTTTTTTTGCTTTAAATTCAGTTCTAGTTTTAATTCTAAGAGTGTTGTTATGGTTTTTCATACATATCCAGCTCACTCTAGAGAGGATGTCATTTTAGAAGGCATTTGAAATCTCAGAGCTCTATCCTGTAACTGCTCCCCTTCACCGTTGTGCTGATACTTCCTCTTTCCTGGTAAGGACATTGCATTAGAATAAGTTCATTGTCATTGTATTGAAGCAGAAAGTTAGTGAAGTCTAGTTTATGCTAGACTCTTGTATCTACCAACAGGAAAACTCACTTTTAAATAGCTCCATGGATTCTTGCCATTTTTAAGTCCCGATTCTACTGTGCTAACTATTCCAAATGATAACTTTTCTTCCTGGGACGCTTGCATGCCTAATTGTCAAGTTTAATTTATGATCCTTGTTACTCTCTAAGTGTTTAATTGAGTTAGTGGTTATAGCTGACTCATAAACCCATAAAACCCTTCAGTGGTAAACTAATTAGCCACTGCACCTGCCCTCCAAATAATTAACATTGTTCATTACAAACAATCAGTGTTGGAGTTATTAAAAGTTACCTTAGAACTCAGTTGTGTGAAGCAGAGCCTTTCAAACTTTTTGATTCTGTCTAGTGAGTAATGTGCTTCACAGGTTAACCATACACACACACACACACTTCCTGGAATAAATATGAAACAACACTTACTAGTGTATGTATGGTGAACTCTTTTCTATGCTATTTTATTCACAGGGTTTTGAAGGTCTGCTATTTCAGAGTAGAGGACCAGTCCTGCTTCTTAGTCTGGAAGCGCCATAGAAATCTGTCCACTACGGGTGACCTTGCTGGTATGTGAAATACTGATGGAATAGCATCCAGCATCACAGTAAGATAAGCTGCCACAGTCTGGCAAACTGACAGATGAGAGGGAGGTGCGCCTTACAAGTAAGAATGGTCAGCGAGATCTGGTGGCCTAATGATAAGAACCTGCACTGCAATCTCAGAAGTAAGAAGGGTGAATCTTCATCTCACATACTTTGGACATATTTCCAAGAAAAAGGCGTGCTGGGAGGGAAAGAGGGTCACCTCACATACTTTGGGCATGTTGTCAAAAAAAAAAAAAAAAAAGACATGCTGGGAGGAGAAGAGGGTCACTGAAAAGAAAAAGGAACATCCTTACTAAGATAGACTGATACAGTGATTACAACAATGAGCTTGAAATTGTGAACAAGGGAAATTGTGAGGACAAAGTAAGGTTCTGCTCTTCTGTTCATAGAGTCACTATGAGTTGTAGTTGACTAGATGGCACCTAACAACAAATCCTGCCTTACACTTTTTTATTTAAAATAAAAACCGTACAGACATACTAAATCGTTTTTACCACTGCATAGTATGTTCATATGGTTTGTGAACCACTGCGGCTCCCCTGGAATTTTGAGGCTGTAGATCTTCATGGGAGAAGACATCTCATCTTTATCCCACGGAGCAGCTGTTGGATTTGAACCCTTGATCTTCTAGTTAGCAGTCCAGCACATTATGCTGTATGTTACCATACCTGACAAAGCAGAGGGTCAACAAAAGAGAGAAAAACCTCCAACAAGATGGTTTGACATATCGACACAGCGATTGGTGCATGGGCTTAAGCAAAACTGAAATTGTGGGAATCATATAGAATTGGTGAGGTCTTGCTTCTATTGTACATAGAACCACTATGCATCGGAGCTAACTTGATGGAATCTAACAACAGCAACAAGTGGATCGTGGCATGGTGGGCTATGGGATGAGCTGCTAAGCCAGTGGTCAGCAGATCAAATTAACCAGATTCCACTAAGGCTGTCTGCTCCCATTATGATTTATAGCCTCGGAAAGTGACAAGACAGTTTCAATTATTCTGTCCTAAGGAAGTGTTATGAATGGGAATCAACTTGATAGCAGTGAGTTGGGGTTTTGGTTTGGAATGAGCTTTGCATGAGCTCTGGTGGCACAGCAGTTAACAATGGTCTACTTGCCAAAATCATAGTGGGGAGAGCCCACCAGCCACTTGGCGAGAGGAGATGTGGTAGTCTGCTTCTGTAACAGTGACACCCTAAGAAATCCTGTGGGACAATGCTACTCTATCCCAGTGTCTTTGTGAGTTAGAGTTGACTTGACAGCACATGACACCAACAGAGTAACCACTGTAGTTGTGAAAAACACGGGCTAAGAAAATCCCTATCCTGCAATAGGAAGTTAAGAACAACCAACAAAAGTTGTTCTTTTAATTGTTAATTTGGAACTTACTTGTTTCCTTCACCATCATACACCCACTTAGTGGTGCCAATTCCTTCATAGTTTGAAGCCCAGTAATAAATACAGGCATTGATGTGCAGAGTAAACAGCAAGTATCCAGTTGTTCTAATGACTCTGTCAAGGATAATAAAGGCAAAGACTCATGTTATTCCTGGACTGAAGTCTATTTTAACATATACTTTTCTTAAAGTCTCCTCTGATTCCCTTTTCTTTAGATTTGAGAACAGTTAGCTTTCAATAGTAGATTTGAGAACTGTTAGCTCTCATTAGTACTGTATAAAATGATGGTGTCATTGCACGTTTTCTGATTACAGTGTTTTGACTGGGACTGACAGAGTCTAAAAAAATATCTTCCTCTCTATTCACAGATGGTATGAGTCAACTCAATGAAAGATGTGGCCTCAAGGGTCACCTCTTCAGTTTGAGTTCTGTAAAATATGCCACAGTGATTTTAATGGGTATCTCTGAAAAGCTCAGGGGCTTTATGCTACAATTAACCGTGACTAGAGGTCTCTGTGCAAGTGAAGTTCAGATCAGTAAATGAATGAGCTTCAGATTAGGGATGAATTGTGATGAGAGAGATGTAAAATTAACTTGCAAAAGGGCATGTTTCTCTGCTTGTTTTGACTCAAGCAGGCGGTAAGTCTGACTATAATAGTATTTTGGGTATGTATTCATGTAAATCTACTGATATTTATATATTTATTTCATTTAAAAAGAATCAGCTATTCCAAACACAGACACTAAAAAAGAAAGATGGAAGCCAAAGACGCAAAGGAAAAACTAAAATGAACAGTTTACATGAAACAGCCTTATCTGTCTTGAGATCAGAAGAACTAGAGAGTGCCCAGCTGCCACTACCATCCATTTTAATCATGGCCAGAAAAAAAAGACCCTGTTAGAATGGAAAAAATGTGGCACAGAGCTCTAAATTCCTAAAACGACGACAACAACAACAATAAAAAGAGGTTTACTAGTTTGGTTGACACTACTTCTCTAAAACACTGAGCTAAACCTGTTGTTGTTGTTGTTATGTGCCGTCGAGTCGCCTGCGACTCATAGCGACCCTATGTACAACAGCCCTAAACTCCGCTCTGTGCTGTGCCAATCGCACTGTCTCTGACACTCCCATCCCAATTATCCCAGTCACTGAATCAATCCACCTGATAGAGGGCCTTCCTCTCCTGCGCCGTCCCTCCACCCTCCCAAGCATGATGTCCCTCTCTAAGGACCGGTCTCTCCTCACAACATGTCCAAAGTAAGTTAGATGGAGCCTCAGAATCCTTGCCTCCAAGGAGCCACCTGGTTTAACCCTCTCCAGGACAAATCTGTTTGTTTTCCTAGCAGCCCATGGTATTCTCAATACTCTTCTCCAGCACCACAGCTCAAAGGCATCAATTCTCCTTCTATCCTCCTTGGTCATTGTCCAACTCTCTGATGCATAACAGGTGATTGCGAAGACCATGGTCTGTATCAGACGCACCTTAGTCTCCAGAGAGACACCACTGCTCTTCAGCACTTTGGAGAGGTCCCTAACAGCAGACTTTCCCATGGCAATGCGCCTTTTAATTTCCTGGCTGCTGGTGCCAAGACTGTTGACTACGGAGCCAAGCAAACTAAAGCTGTGTACAATCGCAATCTCTTCACCATCCATCCTGATGCTGCCAATTGGTCCAGTGGTGAGAATCTTTGTCTTCTTGACATTGAGCCTCAATCCATATTGTAGGCTGCAGTCCTTGACACTCTGCAGCAGGCACTTCAGGTCCTCCTCAGTTTCAGCAAGCAGGGTTGTGTCATCCGCATAACGCAGATTGTTGATAAATCGTCCACCAATCTTGACTCCACATTTCTCCTCATAGAGCCCAGCCTCCCGGATAATCTGTTCTGCATATAGGTTGAAAAGGTATGGAGATAGGATGCATCCCTGGCGTATGCCCTTACCAATTTTGAACCATGCAGTGTTCCCTTGCTCTGTTCTGAAGACTGCCTCCTGGTCCAAGTATAAGTTTCGCATTAGAACGATCAAGTGTTCTGGGATTCCCATTCTTCTCAGAGTCAGCCACAGTTTGTTATGATCTACACAGTCAAATGCCTTTGCATAGTCAATGAAACACAGATAGACATTCCTCTGGTATTCCCTGCTTTCAGCCAAGATCCATCTAACATCAGCTACAATATCTCTAGTACCACGACCCCTTCTGAAACCAGCCTGGACTTCTGGTAGTTCTCTGTTGATGTGCTGTTCCAGTCATTTTTGGATAATCTTCAGTAAAATCTTGCTTGCATGTGAAATCAGTGAAATTGTTCTGTAGTTTCCACATTCGGTTGGGTCGCCTTTCTTTGGGATAGGAACAAATATCGATCTTTTGAAGTCAGTGGGCCAAGTGGTCTTCTCCAGATTTCTTGGCACAACTTGGTGAGCACATCCAGGGCAGCATCTTTTAACTGAAATATGTCAATTAATATACCATCTATTCCTGGAGCCTTAGTTTTTGCCATGTCCTTCAAAGCAGCCTGAACTTCTTCTTTCATCACCATAGGCTCTTGCTCATATGTTGTTTCATGAAATTCTTCTGTGTCTTCCAATTCTTTTCGATACAGTGACTCAGTATATTCCTTCCATCTTCTTTACCTTGAATAATTTTGTAGATAAATAACAGGTTGGTTCTTGAAATAATGGATATTACTGATTAATACTATGTTTCCTTGAAAAACCACTTAAATGAGACGAAATGGTCAGCAATTACTTTACATTAAAGTTGAGAAGTCGAGGGGCAGGGAAACTTGCTCAGTGGAAATGAAGCAATCAGAATGGAAATAATCTAAATGCTCATGTATTCGAATGATGACACCAATGTTGTGGAAAAATTTGTAGAGAGTACTGATTGGGAACCTAACCTGTAAACCTTCACTGGAAACACAAGAAAATATTGTTATAACAAGAATCCAAATCAGTTCTAGAACATAACCCTGTATTTTATATAGCCCAAATTCTGCAATTGTTCATTTTACTTAAGTAGGTAGTGACTTTGCTCCCAAATGCTCTCTGAAAATGTTGTAACTTTGCTTCTCTCCTTCTCCATTATAATGAATTATACTTTACCTGTAGATGTATGCCTTGTCCATTATAGACTCTAGGCGGTGATTAAACTCAAAAAATGAGACATACTGTGCAGAAAGTAAAAGAAACCAAAAGTATATTAGTATTATTTTAGTAACATCATGTTAAGTGTATTTTAGTTGATAATGAAAATAATTTTATTTCTGTGTTTACTTAAAATTAAGTTTAGAGTTTACTGAGTGGTAGTTTTCTCTGGCTCATTCATTTTAGCACAGTGTGCTATCAGTCAGAATTGACTAAATGCAATAAGTTTTCTTTCTTTGAGTTGGGGGGGTGCGTGATGGTTTGGTAAATTTTCAGAGCCCCTTGTTTTATTTCTACCTGCCAGTTAGAGTGTTATTTGCAATATTGTTGAAAATTGGACTTATAAAACAGTTATTCCCTATTTCTTGAAAAATAGCACTCTTTGATATGGTGCAACAAGTGTTG